GCAAACAGACGGACGATGCCTCTCTCTGGCAGCACAAGTCCACATCATGCTCTAATTTAGTGACCTCAGACGTAGCTCGCCGGTGTAATCTGTCAGCACGTGCTGAAACCGGCTTTAATGCATACTCCGACAGAGAAAAACTTTTTGCCATCTCCCGTTGTGCCTCATTGTATGTTACCGTGAATTGCGACTTGAAACTGCGTGGCTAACATTACTTAACATGGAGCCTCTGTGAATTTGGGATTAGCACACCATCCAGGCGTGCGCAAAACAGACTAACGTTAGCTAGCTTGGGGTGGGGGAGGGGTGGAGATGCAGGCCGATGCCAGGAAAATTGGCAAAAGTAGATTAACATAGCTGGTATCTTAAAGGCCATTATCTATAACGTTATACTTTGAAAAAAAAATTGTGATATTTAAACGACTAGGTTACTTTTTCAGTCATTAATTACCACGCTTTTAGTCGAAACAGCAGGCAGAATCACTGTTACTTTACATTAAGTTAACATATCTTTATTTTTACTTTCAACCAATAAAGTTGGAATGTTGGATAACTTGCAGCAATGCAAAACAATGTTCAACTGCTAACTGTTACAGCAACTCCTTGTAAAATGATTATTAACTTATACAAGTCTTACCTTTGGGAAAATGGCAGCCAGTCTCTGAAATGTTGACGATCCATCATGTGGCTGAAAATAGCTGGACCGGAAGTGTGAGGTGATTAAATCCAAAGACCTCCCAATGAGTAACATTTACCAATTTTCTGCATCGTTGACTTTCCTGATAAAATATAATTAAATTCTACTTAACGATTCACAGCTGATTTTATTCAAACAAAACTGAGTAAAATGTTATTAATAAATAACTAGAATTTGTTGAAGTCAGCTCAGTGTGATTCCAAACTACAAATAGTCTTTTTTATTATGTATATGTTACTAATGTTTGATTATTAAATATTAATTGACGCCATTCCCAGTTTTTACAGTGAAGGCAAAAGTAAATACAGTAATAATTATTACAATTTAAAATAGCTGTTTTCTATTTGAATATATTTTAATTGAATGCTGAAGCTGCATTTTCAGCATCATTACCCCAGTCTTCAGTGTCACATGATCCTTCAGAAATCATGCTGATTTGCTGCTCAAGAAAAATTTCTGATTATTATCAATGTTGAAAACAGTTTTTGCTGCTTCATATTTTTGTGGAAACTTTTTTTAAGATTCTTTGAAAGATAGAAAGTTAAAAAGAACAGTGTTTATTTGAAACCGAAATCCTTTGTAACATTATAAATGTGTTTACTGTCGCTTTTGATCAATTTAAATACATTTTAAATAAATCTATAACTATAGATAATTGTTTACAATAAACCCTTTATTTTAAAATAAATAACAGTTTTTTATATTTATAATATAATACCCAGGGACCAGAATATTATTACTGATTTTTGACCTGGGCCAGTAAAAAAAAACATCTAGCAGCAATTCAGAACAACTTAGCAACTGCACAACAACACATAATGGGCTCACATTTTCTTCAGAATCTTTTTACATTTTTATTCTTGTGACATTGGATTTTTTTTTCAGTTTCATTCAGATAGAGATTTCAAAATACAACAAATTTTGGACATGTGGAAAAAGGTAAAAAAAAATGTTCCCTACCATTTTCCAGTGTACTTGTTGATGAGATAAAACAACGAATTCTGAGTGATGCATTTCAAAATGTACCTGAGTGTTCAAAACGTGACTGTGCAAAAGCAACTAATGAATTCTCCTGCCTTTAGCATTCTGTAAAGTTGCTCAAAGGAAGAAACCTAATTAAAATGCTGTAATTGGCCCACAAGTGTGCTGACAGCCTGATACTCACACCCTTATCTTGTGCTTACTGTATTCACAAGAGAAATCAACATGCGTGCGCGTGTGTGTGTGTGTGTGTGTGTGTGTGTGTGTGTGTGTGTGTGTGTGAACACGGCAAACCTGATACAACTGTCTCGCGTCTGTTTTCTAAACCTCAGCACTGAATACAAGGGTGTAGAATTTACCAGGGACACTAGGGACCCTACCAATATCCAGCGACTACTGAATCGTCTCTAGCATAAGTTTGATCAAACGATAAAAATATATTTATATGTAACCACTGTTGTGGGTCTTTCCATTGACATTACCTGAGAAGTCAAAGTAAATATGTTTAAAAACTCTCTAATGTGCATTTAATGCATGGAAAGAGTAGGAACATAAGGTAAGTGTTCAAAACACACATGCACAGTTCAGTTGAATGATAAAGTTGAACAACTTAATGTTGTTAAACCGAATGAAACAACTTTGAAATAAGAGAGTGCGGTTTGTCTGTTTGTATATCAACAGTAGCCTACACCCCAGTCAGATTTTATTTCAGACTCATCAATGGACATTCATTTTTAAAGTAATCTAGCATTATTAAAGTCACCATGAAATCCTTATTATATATATATATATACAGCTCTGGAAAAAATTAAGAGACCACTGCAAATTTTTCTTAAATGAGTATCTCTGCATGTATGGCGGCCATTCCATTCAAGCGTCTGTTGAATTCCAACACAGGCTGATTTGGTGATCACCTGAACCAAATCTTATTTAATGAGGAAAAGTATAAAAACCACTGGTCATAGGTCATCACTATCCTCTTGCAATAGTACCAGCTGGATGGCAAAAACAGCGCTAGTAGTACTTCAAAAGTAATTGGAATAAAAAAAATAACTATTGACCATTCCAAAAGAGTTGAAAAGGAAAGTATTGAGTGAGGAAAAGAAGGGTTCAATTCAAGAGGACGGTTCGAAACAGGCTCCAAGGGGCAGGGCTGAAGTCGTACAAAGCTAGAAAAAAGCCCTTCATCAATGAGAAGCAAAGAAGAGCCAGGCTGAGGTTTGCAAAAGACCATATAAGGATTGGACTGTAGAGGACTGGGGTAAGATCATCTTCTCTGATGAGTCCAATTTTCAGCTTTGTCCAACACCTGGTCGTCTAATGGTTAGACGGAGACCTGGAGAGGCCTACAAGCCACAGTGTCTCGCACCCACTGTGAAATTTGGTGGAGGATCGGTGATGATCTGGGGGTGCTTCAGCAAGGCTGGAATCGGGCAGATTTGTCTTTGTGAAGGACGCATGAATCGAGCCACATTCAAATAAAACTTGCTTCCTTCTGCTCTGACAATGTTTCCCAACTCTGAGGATTGTTTTTTCCAGCAGGACAATGCTCCATGTCACACAGCCAGGTCAATCAAGGTGTGGATGGAGGACCACCAGATCAAGACCCAAGACCCAATCTCCAGACCTGAACCCCATTGAAAACCTCTGGAATGTGATCAAGAGGAAGATGGATGGTGACAAGCCATCAAACAAAGATGTTGCTTGAATTTTTGCACCAGGCATTAAGTCAGCCAACATCAATGTGAAAGACTGGTGGAGAGCATGTCAAGACGGATGAAAGCTGTGATTGAAAATCAGGGTTATTCCACCAAATATTGATTTCTGAACTCTTCCTAAGTTAAAACATTAGTATTGTGTTTAAAATGAATAATAACTTATTTTCTTTCCATTATTCAAGATCTGACAACTGCATCTTTTTTGTTATTTTGACCAGTTGTCGTTTTCTGCAAATAAATGCTCTAAATGACAATATTTTTATTTGGAATTTGGGAGAAATGTTGTCAATAGTTTATAGAATAAAACAAAAATGTTAATTTTACCCAAACACATACCTTTAATAGTAAAACCAGATAAACTGGTAATTTTGCAGTGGTCTCTTAATTTTTTCCAGAGCTGTATATATAAATTCATTTTTTTTTATGGAATATTGCAGTGTTTAATAAGAAATGATTTATCTGTGCACATAATTATTTTATTCATGTGTCATTATTCAACCTGTCACTCACATGAGATCCACCAATAGCAAACCACAGCCATCCAGCCAATTAATAAATTCCCAGTTGACGAATTCAAGTCCCGCCCTACGTTTTGTTGAGAAGACGTTTCACTCTGATATAAGTCCCAATAGGGAAGAAAAGACTCAACTTCCATTTCATGCTGAATTTCATGACTCTAACCACCTGAAAAAGTGCTCTACATACACCGCTATAACATCACAGAATTGATTCATTGAAGTCAATGTAGACTAAAAACTTTCATTTCAGTCCCTGAATAACGTTTGTCTCTCAGTTATGAATGCATGCTTGTTTAGATATTCCAGCGTAAAGTACAGAAAGCAAAATTGTAATGTTGTTGTGTTGGTTTACATAATCAAAATGATGTTATGAGTTGGCAACAAAATCTACAAATAAAGGCTTTGAGATCATGAAATTAATGAGAACATAAAAATCACCAATGTCAAAATCAAACTTATGCTCTTGACTGTATGTATACTTTTTGTTTTTTTATCCCAAGCTTTAAAACATGAGAAGGGCTTTGCAGGGCTTTGATCTCAATTAGGGTTTTATTTATACAAATACATTTATGTTAAGACTAACTTGAAATACAGCAGCAATATAACTACAAAAAAAAGAGATATAAAATAGATAGCAGGGACACAAATGAATCGGCGAATCATTCTTTAAACCGCTTGATTTACATAAACCATCCATATGAAAGATTGACTAAATGTATTGGACTTCCAAACAACTACATATGTTGGATAAGACAAAATAGGAGACTGTGATTATTTTCTTGGCTCGCTACTGTAACTGTAAAGCTGTGTGGGTAATTATTACATTACTCCACCAAACTACAAAAAAAACCCCAGCTTTTTGTCATTAGCGGCTTGCTATTTTAAAATGTAGCATCACTACTTTTAGTTACTTCCCATGCTATTCTGGTACTTCCAAAAATCTGAAAATGAAGGAAATGAAATGTTCCACCTAAACATAATGAACTGTCATAAATAAATTAATAAGAATGGCAAGACATAAGATTTTTTTCTTATTGGTCCTTATTCTGGCCATAAAAAGCATACAGGTAGAGTCATACATGTCATGTTAGTAGAGGTTTCTCAAAAGTTTTTGTTTGTAAATGGGATCTTTAACGTGTACTTCAAGGCCAGCGTTGTGTCCACCTGTTCAGCAGAGAGTAATGTGTGCCATTGAGCCACAGGTTTGCGTGGGTTGGACAGCATATCCGCCCAGTGGCGCAACTGGTTTCCTGTAGCATCACAGCCCAGATAGATCTTGCCAATCGCATCATTTCTGCTAATTTTGTCATGATCCCACACTGAGATGACCAGCTGGACTTTCTGTATGAGGAATAATGAGTGAAAAAAATTACCTTTCACAAAGTGCCAATAAAATTTTTTAAATTTTAAATGGGGCGAAGTTGATTTACGTGGCTGAAATCACAATATAGGGATGATGTTGTGATATTACAACCTTAGTTGTTGTTTTTTTATTCACAGAAATGAATCAAACAAGAATGAATCAAGCTATAAAAACTGAGGGGGGTTTCACCTCAGTAGAAAACTCGCCATAAATTTGAGGACGAACATCACAATGGTACAAAGCTTCTAAAAGGACATGAAAATGGAAAATATATGAGATGGGGGGAAAATTTTCCATGCTTTTGCGTTCACTTTCAAAACTTTTCAAAAAACTTTACATTTGCTTGCAAGCGTTTTGCCTTACTCTGATAAACAAAGCTTGCAAAGAATACAAGAAGATTTGCGAGCAAACACAAAGTTCCTCTGTGGATCTCAAAAGTTTGCCAGCGAATGCAAACGCATTGAAATAAAATCCCCCCCCCCCATCTCTGTATGTCCCTTTAGGGGTCCCTACAATGAGTCCTGAAGATCTGTACAATGGATCCAGATTTTGAACCCTTGATTAATCTAAGCAAGCAGTCTCTAAGTATTACTCACCTGAATCTGTTCAAACGATACTTCGAAAGTGAAAGATTCATTAAAGTATGGATTCAATGTTCGCTTTTTCACTGATGTTTTCCTCTTCTTCCACTTCTTCTTATCCAGAACCAATTGAACTTTCACATAAGGGTCTACAGAACAAAAAACAGAACTATTAATCCATTTCTATGCTAAACCTACTCTATAGCTGCTTGAAAGCAAGGCTGTAACCATATCTTGAAAAAGGGTTTAAAGGGGATTTACTTATTCACTCTCTTTTGAATGTCTAATATGTCAAAAAAAAAAAAAGTTTATTGTCTCATCACAATCAGTTATGAATGATATAATTTAAATGATTTAATATTTTCAACTCAAAATGGCAAAATTATATTTAAAAAGTTGAGCAGTTTGTATCACCGTAAGTTACTGTGGGTCATACATATTAAATGTTTAGCTACTTATATCTTACCATGCACGCAGTTTTTCACTGTAAAAACTAAAAGCGTTGTGTTGGAATTCACACTCATCTTCAGTGAATATTAAGCCCCGGCTTCTTGATCTGATTGGCCATAATTTTGACATTGACGAGCGCTGTTAGACCGCTGAGGCAGACCAGCCTAAAAATTTACATTTTTGAACTGTCTGCCATCCTAACAACAAACGGAGTGGTGCATAATGGAAAGCAGCATTAAGAAATATCAAAAATATTATGGGGGACAATTTGGCCATTTTCAAATATTTGTAGGGGACCTTTCCCCTTTAATGCCTATGGTGGTTCCGGCCCTGCCTTAAAGAATGCAATGGCTTAAAAACTTGAGTATATGACACTTTTTCAACCCACTCTACGAAAAAATGGCACCTTCATTATCCAGCCCGATCTCACGGCAATTCGTACGAATATTACTAGGTGGCTAATTCGTAATAATTCATACGACCTCACTCTTACAAATTCGTACGATTTTTGCTAATTCGTACATATTTTACGAGTTACCAAATTCGTATGAATTCGTACGAATGACCTACCCCTGACCCCGCCCCTAAACCTACCCATCACGTGGGTTTAGACAAATCGTACGAATTCGTACGAGTGAGGTCGTATGAATTAGTACGAATTAGCCACCTTTTAATCACTTGTAAGAATTCGTACGAATTGGTCGTGAGATAGCGTTGCATTATCTTATAAGTGGTGGTAAAAGAGCGTTCAGCTTAATCAGAAACAAATGAACGTGAATTTGGCAATGTTTGTTACATTGGTTGTTGTACGTATCGCAGCAGTTCAGAAATAAAATGTCCAGTGAGAAGTGCTTAAAGATGTTATATCGCGTTTGAAAATAACTTACCACCTACACTAAACCCAAACCGATAATGTTAACCAAAGCAAATGCATAGATAAAAACACATTTGCTGAAGCAACCATGGCATTTAGTTTGCTTCTACAAGACTCCTTTATTCTGACATGCAAGTGCAATGCTGTACCAGGTAAGCTACCGAACAAGTTAACTAAATCAAAAACCCATACATATAGAGCTGATTATGTGATGCAGACCTGAAAATGTATTCGTTCACAAATCATGCACTATGGTAAAAGTGTTTTTTAGGTCATAACATAGTTTCCTACGAGAAGCCACGCAAAAATGAAGGTAGAGGCATGGTTTTCCAAAGAGTCTATGTTTTATATAGTGTTGAGATGCAATCGGGAGTGATTGCAGACAAGACTTTTGAGGATGTAGGACATTTAAGTATATGAGTGTCTCACCTGAAGAGCCTCCCTGGTCCATCTTCTTCAGGTTCTTGGCTTCCAGTATGATCACAGTGAGTTTACTACTAGTCGGGACATAACGAAGAGAAAAGCAGATCTCTCCCAGATTCTCTTGCTATTATATGGGCACAAGATGAAAGATGCCGTTAGCAGACACGTTATGCATAGAGAATGCTTTTAGCTCTAAACCTATTGACGTGTATGGGGTTAAATCCTAGACTTCATAGACAAATTTCAAATCGTAGATTTCCAGGGTGTCCTGACCCAACCAATCATTTAGTCTGGACAAGGGTTGACGCATAAGCTATCACCATTGTGCCGTTGAGTAGGACACTGAACATAAGGTTGCTCCAGGGAACTTGATGTAATTTTACATGATGTTCTATGGTGACGTGATGGAAACAAAATCCACCTGCTGTAGTCATTGTCAAAAGATTTGGTTCTTTCAATATTCAGTGTAAGCCATACCAAAGCAATAGAAAGAGAAGGGGTAAAACAACTCTCTGGGACCCCCAACTTATTTCCCTTTAGTAGAGGATGACACTTTGCCCTTCATATAAATATAATTGATGTGAACTAGCCACATGAAAAATAACATTGAACTTGACAACATGTGGATTGAAGTACTGAACTGAACCTCGTGTTTGGAAGCTTTGCTCAGATCTCTCCACTCCTCGATCACATGATTCCAGTCCACTGTGGACAGATTCAGTCTGATCTCACCGATGATGTCATGTTTGGAGAATTTGTTAAAGTCATAGACTTGCATCACCAATATCGACTCAATCAGCTCCTTCTGAGGGATCTAAAATAAAAGTGGTGAAAACAACATTTCAGTGTTACTCTAACTAGGCTGTAAATGTAACTCTTTCTCCGCCATTGATTGAAACTTTCTGTGTTTTCAGTGTTATATGGTAGGGGGCGCTAAGACATTTCTTCTGAAAGAGTATAATCTCCTGATCAAAACACAGGTGAAGAAGAAGCAGAAACAAGCGATAGCACATGTAAGCATATTCATATGTAAAATAACGCGATCACCATTTATAAATCAAAACTGCCTATGTTACTGAATGAAATGTCGAAGGAAAAGGAAAAGTTTACGACTGTGAAGCTTTGGGGATGTTGATGGACTTGATCTAATCCATCTATGTTTTGATCATCATTCTGAATCTGATCTGGATGACGTCGTTGATAAAAACCTGTTTTTATCAGCTTTTTGCTCAAAATTGAGCTTTTTTCATGAAACTTACCCACATTCAAATGTTGAGCATGAAGCTAGAATAAACAGGCTTTTTGTTTAAAAGCAGAGGCTCTTTCTTTTGATATATTGCATATTCAGATATTCAAGCAAAAAGTGTCTGGCAACTTTTTTTTTTTTTTTACTGGCGGAGAAAGAGTTAACAACCACATTTTAATGAGCTTGACCAAACATCAGGTCATTGTTCGAGCTGATAACAGAATCCTGATAACAGTTTTCCACCACATGAATATATGACCTTATGATAGTGAACGATTGTACTGTATATGCTTCATGGTTTACCTGATATTTGAAATTTTCATTGAACACGGGGTTAAGGGTTTTCCTGAAGACTTTCGTCTCAAATGTTTTGGACTTGTTGGGAAGGATGTAGATTTTCACATAAGGGTCAGATGTCCCTCCTAAATCCATCGCTTTCAAAGCGGCAGCTTCTTTTATTCCAACGCTCAGCTGATGAGAAATATGGTACATTATATAGGTTTAGGATCTTAAAAACAGTTTTATCTAAATGCTTATTCTTAAAGTCCACATGAATTCAAAACCCTATTTACTTTGTTAGTGCCCGAGTCTTGTGGTGAACAATTCATGCGATAATCCACACACAAAAATAAATGTTTGTCTTTGTAATATTTAGTCAAAATCTGTGGATGTCTTCCTCACTGAAATGGTGTTCCTGTAGCCCCACCCTTTATTTTTCATAATTCAATATTCTGTTTCACTCGGAAATACATCACAATACTGAAGTAAAGTTGGTCGCAACCTCCAGTTCAACCAGACTTTACAGTAAATACAATTAACAGGCCTACTGTCCTATTTTAGGGTCTATTGGAGACGTCAAATTGATGTTTTAGGGGCACCGAAAGATCACCACAGACACAGTACAATCTACATGGGATAATCTCACAGCATAACAAGCAGCTGTACAAAATATGATGCACCAGTGTTTTGCCAGTTTATCTTCTTTTCATAACTGCATCCACTATACGTCAAACTGATTGCACTGTATTCTTTCTTTTGATTATAAACTGAACTCAAATGGCACTGCACTAAGATTTGGGTAATAGAGAAACATAAATCACTTAATTGGGGAAATTGGGAGTTGAAACAATGCTAATGACATGGGTCTGGTGGAGTAGTGAGTTTGATGTGTCAACTAAACTCGAGGTTCTGTGGGGTCGGGTGCGGACTGGATCGACTCCATTCCTAGAGCTTTTCCTTTGGGTTTTTTGGGTGCGGACTGATGGGGCAGTGAACCCGAGGTCAGTCCAAGAGCTTTTAGGGATTTTAGGGAAAAATCGGGTCCATCTGAGACGTCCAATGGAATTCTTAGGCGCGCCGAATAAACACCACAGACACAGTGTCAGAGTAAAACTAGGCTATATGCAAAGTAAGATACACCGGTGTTTTACCAGATGAGAAGTTTATTCTATCATCTTTTTACTACTTTAGTTCATTTTACTTTAATTCATTTTATTTATTTATTTTGTGCTTATTTTCTATGCAAAGCACTTTGAATTGCCATAGTGTGATATTTTTATTCTTTTCAATGTAAAGCACTTTGAATTGCCATAGTGTATGAAATGTTCTATATAAATACTTGCCTTGACTTGCCTTACTGTATATACTGTCTATATATGGTTTTCTTTGCTAAACAAGTTTTAAATTAAGAGTTGGACTGGAAAAGTATCATTAGTTTAATTGATAGAGTGTCTTGAGCAAGCAGAGCAATACAAATTAATAATAATGAGTAATAATGGTGACTTAGAAAAATATAAAACATAGTTTTGAAAATTTGGTTTAATAATTTGGTTTAATACCTTTGGTCACTACATATTCACTTTCATAGATTCAGTGAAGATTTAAGTGTTGTTCGGGTTATTATGACAGAATATCAATGTAAATATCATACTTTCTACTACTGCTTTATAATATTCAAGACATAGCTATTTCTGTTAGTGCATTGTGCATACTTCTGATTATTTCCTAAAACTATTTGCATTTTGGAATGAACAGATGTATGAACTAGCGCTGAATCCGAAATCGCCCCCTATACCCTCAAATATGGCATTATTTGAGGGGACAGCCATTTGTAGTGGTGTCCGAAACCATAGTGGACTTTATTGAGTCCACTCATACAATCCCACATTGCACCGCAATAACGAGGGTAGGCCTACAACCGATGTGCGCTCAACGGCTGTCCCGAATTTGCTCACTCGTTTTCATTCACTCCTTCAAACTGTATTAGTGGACTAATGTAGGAAATAGTGATTGAGGGTTTAGGGGGGCAAAATCGGATTCAGCGGGTGTCCAATCCTGCTCCTGGAGGGCACCTGTCCTGCAGAGTCCAGCTCCAACCCCAATTAAACACACCTGAACCGCAAGGTCTAACTAGACATACTAGAAACTTCAAGACAGGTGTGTTTAGGTACTTGGAGCTAAACTCTGCGGGACAGTGGCCCTCAGGAACAGGTTTGGACACCCCTGAACTAGGTGAATGAAAGTTAATAAGTTCCTGCCAGTTGAGGGCACCACTGTAAAATCAGTGAAAGTGATGCATTTACCTCTGAAATGGATGCATTGAACTCCAGTGAATACTGCAGTTTTCCCCTCTGTTGGTCTGATCCATCCTCCACATCCTCTGTCTCAAGCTGGACCTGTCAGTAAACCAGAATCCCCTCAGTGAATGCCACCCAGAGGAATTATTTATTGCTCAAAGGTTGATTTTCACAAACTTAAAGGAGCTCTCAGATACGTTTCAGTTAACTCTTTCCATTGATGGTATTTTTGCGTAAATATGACACAACTTTATCCCGCCATTGACAGAAATTTCAAGCAATCCATGTTTTGACTGTTATAAAGTAGGGGGCGCTATTACACATCTTTTGAAAGAGTATAAAGAAAGCATGAAGCTATAAAAAAACTTTAAAAGTTTAACGTTTAAAAGCAGAGGCTCTTTTCTTTCTTCTTTTTTTTATATATAGCTATTGCATGTTCAGATATTCATACAACAAAATATTCAATTTGGGGGCCAAGAAAGTTTTCTGAAAATGATCAAAAATGCTGGCGGTTGCTGGCAACTTTTCTTTTTTTTAAACGGTCTGGGAAAGAGTTAAGTATCAGCTTTGACTCTAATTTTCCGCTTAATGGTGAAGTAATCCCTTTGGCATGAATGGGAATGCTAACAGATAGCGTTCCAAGGTATTATGCTGCATTATTATTGACCTTTTGATTAACCTCACATAGCAACAGTGACAGCCAATCGCGCTAGTTTGGAGGCGGGACTATGGTTTTTCAACCAATAGCAGATGATGGGAGTGTTTGAGGAAACCTGTTCAACAACAATTGTATTTTCTCTGCCGTCACGCCACAGAAATTACACACCTCACCTTTTAAAATCTCTCAGGAGAAATAAAAACAGACACAAATGATACATTGATATACTGTAAGATTATAGAGCAATGAAAGTAATGTTAAAAGCATGGAAGTATTTGAGGAGAACTATTTAAGTTCTCTTTGACTTTAAACAACTTTGGTTTGGCTTTGGTTACTTTTGCTCCATTTACTTTTGTCTCCATTTAAACGTATTGCTGACTAAAAGAAAAAAAATGATCCAGCATTTACAAGCATCTACGATCCATCTCTCACCAGTGCTGCGGTTGTAGATCCTGAGATCCCTTTCATACTGATCTTCTGCTCCAGCTTCTTCCTCTTCTTTTTCCCTTTGCAGCAGCATTTTACACAGCAGCATATCATGCAGATAAGAATGAGCAGGAGGATGGCGGCAAATATAGCATAGATGGCCCATCTTGGCACTGTTGTGACAAAAACAACAATTTTCCATCTTTCATCACGGTAGCAAAGCAGCGGTCCAGTATAGCACCATGAAACACATCTGAAGGATGAGGCGAGACCACGGCCAGGAGACTCAGGGCAAGTTAAACTTGTAGCAAGTGAAAATTGAGAACCAAGCAATGTGCGCAAGGCGTGGAATTAGATAGGGGCCCGTGGAGCAGGTGCTGAAAAGAGGATTCATATGATATACTCACAAGGAATCCTGTCCAGTAAAGAGGCCAGGAACCCCGGAGCAGCTGTTGTGGTGTTGGCATGATGTGTTTTAGTTGGTTTTAATGGCGGTCTTGGTGTCATGGTGAAATGAATGAGACCGGTGGATCACTGGAAATGCACATAGAAAAGAAAGTGGGTTGCTGGCAAGAGTTTTTTAAAAAGTTATGGTTTGAGTTAGTAACTTTGTTTTGTGACGCCCCCTACTGGTTAGAATGGTATTGCAACATTTTAGTCATCCTGAAAATAATAGTTGACTCAAAATTAAAGGGATAGTTCACCCAGAAATGGAAGTTCTGTCAGTATATCATTCCAAACCCATAGGAAATATAAAATTGAGCATAATCGGAAATGAAAATAAAAGAATAAAATGGAAAACAAAACAAAAAAACAAAAGAGGCCCTGTCTTTTGAAGCCATACGATAGCTGTCAACATTCTGCTCATATTCTCCTATTGTGTTCCACCAAAAAAAGAAAGGAAACTCTAAAGGTTTGAATAAATATGAGGATGAGTAAATAATGACAGAATTTTTACGTTTGGAGTGTGAACTATTCCTTTAATAAAATAAAATAGAGACGACTTGAAACAAGAGGGAAAATATCCCGTCGAAACACAAATGCTCTGGCGTAAGGTTTTAGTATACTAAGCATACTAGTGTGTGTGTGTACCTACTTAACTATATTTTGGGGACAAATTTGTACCCAGAAGTGACCAAAACCTGACAAAGTCTCCGAAAACCTCACTTTAGGGACGTCCTCATTTGTAAATCTGGTATAAAAATAAAGTAATTAATGTTTTTTTTTTAAATGTAAAAATGCAGAAAGTTTTGTGTGATGGGTACAGGGGTAGGGTTAGTGTAAGTAGAATTGTAATATACAGTTTGTACAGTAAAAACATTACGTCTATGGAATGTCCCCATTTAAATAACTAAGTAAACGTGTGTGTGTGCGTGTGTGTGTGTGTGTGTGTGTGTGTGTGTGTGTGTGTGTGTGTGTGTGTGTGTGTGTGTGTGTGTGTGTGTGTGTGTGTGTGTGTGTGTGTGTGTGTGTGTGTGTGTGTGTGTGTGTGTGTGTGTGTGCATATAGTAACTCATTCAACTCTCAGTTGCTTGACAAAAATAGTTTCGTCACCACCAAAGTTAAACAACCGCCCATTAAAACTGGGTGTACATAAAGTGTACAGATAACATTCTTTTTCAGTGAAACAGTAATAAAAATGAAACAATACTGCATTGAGATTAATACAATCAAAACACTTGCTGTCATATTTCAACATTTTCACAATCAAGACTGCTCCAACACCACAGCAAAGTAATAAAGTACGAGTTTCGAGATTCTTATCATGCCCTCAAAGAAATATGAGTAAATACTGAAGCAACAAAATACACTATATCTAAAAAATGACATAAACAAAACTAATTATATACACTGAGCATAAAGAAACCGTGAACCACAATATAAAAAAGAGCCTTACAGTGACACTCACTGTTGTAGACTGAGTTCAGATCTTGACTCCTCGGTTGTCGTATAAAACGTAAAGATTAATATTCTGAATGGTATGAACACATTCCTAAACTGAATGAGCGGTCCAGCCACGGAGAGGGGAAGGAAGTCACTGCCCACTGAAGCTGGACCGGCTCAGGAAAGAGCCATTACAATGAGCACTTTACTGATCAAAAGAAACAATGAGGTTTTAATCGTGTGGTCAAACGAAAGCCATGTTGTTAATCTCAGTTTAGTCTTCTGCTATTCATTCAATTCAGTATATTCAATATCCAACTTGATTGGGCCTTTTTTCTTTGAAGAGCAGCTGCCTATACTAACTTTTATGACATTTTTAATCTTTTTATGACAGTGATTAAAATATGAACAAGAGAGAGACTCTACAAAATAAGGAGGGGGAAAAGATGAAGAGGGAGAAAGTATAGGGGTAAAGATAGTCAGTACAAAATTAAATTTCACCAAAAGACAAGGGGAAAGAAGTGCAGCTGTAATATATTGTATCATCCATCCACCCGTTTTCCAAATCGCTTGCCCCATGTACAGGGATAAATAATACAGGACAATACCAAAATTGACTATGTCTACAAACTATAATGGAACTATAATTGAAAGTGGCACACAATAGCTACAAAGTGAGGATAAAGAGCATTCATTTACACTTGAAAATAATACAACAAAGTTTGTTTCTAGAAAAAGATTGCGTCATCGTCCACCTTAAGTAAAGCAGATGAATAATTTTGTTGAATATTAAAAGTCCCCAACTAAGCAAGCCAAAAGCCAATGCAAGAGTGGCAAACTCGTTGTAGTTTAAAACAAAGATTTAGTTTCCAAACCACTTGTTCTATGTATTGTCTCAGGGATGCTGGATCCTATCCCGTCTCAGGCCGTATGCAGGGAAACACCCTGGAAGTCCATCAGAACCCTTACAGAAAAACACATGAATTTCACATGTGCAAAAAGACAAGTGGCAACATGTACATGTGCAAAATTTTGCACTTGTGAAATTTAACATAAAAGTACATGTGAAATATGTGAAATATGTGGATCGCATGTGAAACATCTGTTTTGCACATGGGAATTGTGTGCTTTTGGATCATTTTTGTGTAAATGAAACCCATGAGATCACATGTAGAACATGTAAAATTCATGTAGGTTTTCTGTAAGGATTACACACAAATATTCACACAATTTAGTGTCTCCAATTCACAGATAACCTGAGGAAACCCAAACCAACACATAAAGCAGGAGTCAAACTTATCAAACTATATTATATTATATTATATTATATTATATTATATTATATTATATTATATTATATTATATTATATTATATTATATTATATTATATTATTTTAGAGTTCCCTCTTTTTGGTGAGCCTGTATCACATATTCTCTCATTCTACCTTGTCAAAAAAAAGTTTTGTTAAATGTCATCCAGTGTCATCGTGTGTTATAAGAAATACCCCCAACATTTGTTCTTCTTTTGTTCACAGAGTTCATTCTGGCTTACATGACAACTTCTGAACACAGACTCAACATTTAACTAGAACTAGTTAGACCCAGCTGAAACTTATCAAGAAAATATGATGAAATACACAATAATTGAACTTGCCTTTTTTACCCTCGACTCTCAGTTCCAATTCTCCAGTTCTGCGGTATTAAACAATTAAGTCATTGTCTTGTGCTGGAATGCAAAAAAATAGTTGGAAACCGAGGCCAGGCCACTTAGACAGCTCTCCTCGAAGTGTTCCTTCAGTATGGAGAGAAATGTTAGACTGCACCACACCTCAATAATACACAAAACTGTTTCTGCATATGCCCTAACACAACAAGCTGTACACCTAATGTGAAGACTGGTGGAGGAAGTCAAATATACATAAAGACAAATATAACATATTCAAATACAATCTTAAGGAATATCTAAATATCTGTTGTTTAAGTGCTAAACAGCTTCCTTCTTGCTCTTGAAATGCACTGTATGCTAGAAAACATATAGATCTGACTGGAAATTACAACAGAAACCAGTCCTGCCACACTACTGTTTATATATTATGGTAACCTGACACTTTGGAACATGTATTTATCCTTTTAAACTTCATTTATTTGTTTGTTGGAATCTTTGTTCGGTTATGTACAACATTTGATATATGCCTAGCCTATGTGTTTGAACAAAAGAATATATTTCATTTCATGCCAACTTTAATTAACAGTGTTAAATAGTTCAAATGATAAATCCTAGACTTAAGTTGAGGTTTATTTTTCTAAAAATCTTTGTTTATCTGAAGAAAGTCATATGCTTCTTGAATAGCTTAAGGGTGAGAAAAGAATGAGACATTTTTTTATTTTTTTATGGGTGGAGTGTAAATATCGGTCTGCCTCGCACGACTATAGCTTTATCTCCTGGACTGTTTAAAGGGACAGTTCAACCCAAAATGAAAATTCTGTCAGTAGTTACTCACCCTCATGTTTTTCCAACCCCGTAAGACTTTCGTTCATCTTTGGAACACAACTTAAGATATTTTTTATTAAATCTGCAGAGCTGGATCACTCCTCCATATAGGCTTCTATAGGGATCGAAACCTGATGGCCCAGAAAAGCTAAAGACATTGTTCAAATAGTCCAAGTGACTACAGTGGCTCTATCTTTAAGTTTACTTTTTGTGCGCAAAAAAACAAACAAAAATAACGACTTTATTCAACTATTCATTTCCTTCTCTGTGGGCCTTGAGATAGTTCACGTAGTGAAACTGCGCAAAGCTTCTGTGTTGTACACGTTGGCTAACTATTGGCCGACGCTGGTCATGTGTGTGATGCGTGTGACGTACAACCTAGAAGCGTTGCGCAGTTACACTACGTGAAATCTCGAGGCCCACAGAGAAGGAACCCCCCTAGAGAGACAGAGGTGCACTCACCACAGATTTCCCAAAATCCTGTGGGAAAAACCGGTATTGCTATCCCAATGCAGCTTATAGCTTGTTTTAGGATTCATCACTGTGGCGTATAGTTCAACTTAGCAGTTTTTCATCTGTTAACTCTTACTCACTCCTATTCACTTATGGCATTAGTGGTTTTAATATGAGTTGGTAGGCCTATACATAAGGGCGTGCAAAGTTCGGATCATGTAGTGGGCCAGTCTGGGCCAAAATGCCAGGGCCGATTTTTTGTCCCAGTGCAGCCCTGATTGCCAGATAAAAAGTCAAAAATATATTTTATTTAATTTAGTTTATTCCGTGGCGGAAACCCGCTTCCATATAGGCTGCATCATCATAGGTGTGGTTACTACTTACTGAATCAACATCTGACTCACTTGAAAGGCAATACTTCCGAAATGAAGTAAGTTTCTGCTCTTGCCAAATCGGTATCATTACTGGTTGTTTTAATAATGGGTATTTTAATAAAGCAAAAGCTGATCAGACTGATGTTGTGCCGCTCCGCAGCGCGAGGCGGCGGCGGGTGACACATAAACACAGTGAATGTTGACACTCGGCACTAGTTACTGGACAATGCAGCTGTGTGCTGCTGGCGGGAAGCACATAGGTATACTCACATTTCACTTTTTTTAATTACGTCATTTCAAACATTTTTTATAAGTGTCCATGTAATGTTAAGTTACGCGCAGGTTTGTTTTGTTTTTGTTGACGTTACAGTCGTAAGATTTTCACTTCCGCATCTGTTAATGTAGGCGAAGGACGGATGTTTTGAAGGGAATGGAGGATAACAAGGTAAAGTCAGAAGTTGCTAAGTTACACTGTCCGCTAGTGAGAGCTGTAGTAATCACCATAACTTCATATTGTACAGTACACCCATTCATGGCTTAATGTTTCTACAGATTTGCACAGGTCCTCTTATAATTGCGCTGCAATATAACGACCTATTTGACTTGGACAAACTCTCAACGTCCACAAACACAGATGCACTAACCAAAGGCATAGCATTCACGTTTATTAAGGTAGGAATACAGTTATTGGATACTGTACGCCATATTCAGATGAGATTTATCATGATTTTGAAATGTTTGCTGTAAATATAGGCTGTGCAAACAGTGAATGAGAGACTTGTGGACCAGAACAAGACTGAATCTTTGCTATTTGAAGTGATTCTCGTTGCAAAGGAGTGTTCAGAAGAATTCAAATTGAAGATAGTTGAGAGTGTAAAGCATTATGGTAAGTTCACTTTGGCGATTGTGCACTTAAAAATGTGTAATATTTAATATTTCTCAGCCTTGCTATTTGTACGGAGCCCCTAAAGGGACATTGGGAAGAAAAAAATATAAGATGAAAGAAAGAATTATTTGTCGATGCTTTTGCGTTCTCGCAAATGTTGTGCGTTCCCCTGAGAATTGAGAAACTGTTCGCTATCAAAATGTTTGTGAGGGAACGCAAAGTTTTCCTTGCAATCGCAAAGTTTGTCACCTTAGACTAGAGGATCCGTATATTTGTAATCCTGTTACAGATTTTTTTCAATACAGTTTTGACTTTTTAATTAATTGTTATTTTATAGATATTGTCTAATATTTTTGTAACAAGTGAAACATATTTAAAAGAAATAAGAGCCAGAATCACTTTTTCACATTATATCATAATGATATAGCCTACATTTAATGTTTACAATTATCACATTTTCATGCTATTTTTATGTTATGTAATTTATCGAAATATCTCAAATGTCTTATAGCACAAATCCCATGTTTTTATTATTATATCTCAAATGTCTTATAATAATAAAAACATGGGATTTGTGCTTTTAATACTTAAACAAAATATTTTGTGCCATTTTTGTTCAAATATATGCTTATTTCTGCTATATGCTTATATTGCTTTGCTTTTTTCCTATCACCAGGTCTAGAAATAGGCAAATTTTACTTTTGCAAAAAGGAAGAACTCATAAATACTCTTCAATCAAACAAAGTAAATCTGTTCGTCTCTACTGACAGGGACGCTGTCTACAATGCTCTGCATACTGGTAGATCGCCTCGTGATGCATGAACATTTAACACATTATTTTCAAAGTTATTGCGGAAATTTTTAAAAACTTTAAAAACTGCACATTGTGTTGAGTTTAGGAATTCCAGCTGCTTCGCTGTATGATCAGGCTGATCATCACATCCTCGATAAGCTGAAAGTCATTTTCTCAGGTGATGTTATCGGTTTCTCTGAGGATACTCTTGATAGTCTTTCAGATTTTGGATTCAATGAAACCCAAATAGAGACCTTCAAAGCAGCAAAGGTAAATCGTGTAATATTTGTATTTCTACAACTTAGTATTAAAGCAAAGGATATGACATATTATGTTTTTTTTTTGTTTTTGTTTTAATTAATAACCATTAGTCTTATTAACCTAGTTTTATGTTATCAGATCTGCATGAAGGAGTTTGCCGTTCTGATTGGTCAAATGAGGAGGAGGTTCGGGCATGAGAACAGCCCTCTCTGCACCTGTGTCTTAACCGTGAGGGGCTCTCGAAACATCTGTGCCACTGCCCTAAAAACTCTTCGTGAATGGGGTCTGGATGCGGACGAGGCGTTTTGTCTCGCTGGAGCTCCTTGCAGCCCTATTTTGGCTGTAGTCAAACCTCACATACTGTTGGACGGTGGCCTTCACAACATTCCTCCCATTCCTGAGAGCCAGTAGCACTAGGCTGGACACACAAATGTGGCTTACTTTTTTTATTTTAATCGGGTGCCAATTCTGTTCTCTTGCTGTTACACTTGACTTTGCATTTATTACTCAAAAGGATTATGTTGTAAATGAGCATTCATATGAGGTGATTTGGCTTTAATAGTGATTCACATCGCTATATATAGATGTTCAGTGGTTTATATGAACTGTTTACAAAAAATATATATAGTAAATGGTTGACAATTAGCAAACTCCACATACTGTAGGAATCAATTTCAAACAAGTTTAGATACCCCCAAACTCTACTGAAATCAAATGCAGCCATAAGTACAAGACAACATGTAAGCAAAATTTGAGCATTAAACATCATAACAGATTTATATATACATACACACACTGAAAATACCAAAATCTAATTCACAAAGTTAACATGCTTGCACCATCATTAAACTTGATCCTAACATGGCTTCGGTTGAATTTCAGTAAGGCACTACTGTCAGCTAAATAGCTGTGATTTCATTTTTGGCTGAAACAAATTATGTAAAACATATGTAATAATATTAAAGGGATAGTTGACTCAAAATGAAGTCTCAAAACACTGATATATTTTCTTTTTAAATGTCTCCTTTTGTGTTCGACAGAAGACAGAAAGTCATACAAGTTTGGAACGACACACGGGTGAGAATTTCCATTTTGGGGCGAACTATCCCTTTAAGAGTAAAAGTACATTTCAAGCAATAATACTTGTGTATTTGTCAATAGCAGTAACATTTTATGCATATATTGACAATTGGTTAAAGTAAAGCAAGGAGTATGATATTTTATAGTCATGCAGTAACATATTGCAACTAAAATAAGTGATTGTTCTTTGGCTCAACATTGTAAAACACTTACAGATTGATAAACATAAAAATCAACCACAGTATGAAATGTAACAAAAAAACAATAAACGTAAATATCACAGGTTTGAAATCATAGATTAATCTCTTCTACTTAACAGTAAACACAAATTGCGAAAGTTGCACATTCATACAAACGTTTTCAGAGGCTAAAATAATAATACAAAAATATATTTAAGCTTCCAAAGTAATTCATCCTTCATCTGATAGTTTTTGTGTGACAAGGTTACGGGTACCACTTTCAAATAGTAGACACTGCAATGATCAGAATACTTTTGTTTGTATTTGAAATGGTATACAGTTCTTTGTGGTCAAGTATTGAAAAACTACTAAAAATAATTCAGCCGAGAACGTATATGGAGAGGTTTTTGGTGCTCAAACGTAGATGCCTTCAGGATTCAAACCTGAGGAGATTGGACTATGTAGTCCACGGATGCTGCCAACCACAGGGTAAGATGAACCCGGGCGTTTCAGCGAGCCAGTTAATGCAGCGAAGTCTGGGAAATGAAAGAAAACAATTAAATTACATATTATTAAAGAACTTTGTCTAATATCTCATTTCACTAACAGGGATCTTAAGAATATTAAGTATAATCAAGGTCAAATGGGAAATTTGGAAAATGGACTCTAACTGAAAAAACATATTTGCATACATGTTGCTTGTTATGAATATCATACTACTATTTCTGCAGTATATATATACAATGCATAGTATGCCCCTTTTCTGAGTACATGGAATATGCAAATACAACAGGGGACACTGAGTGAAATACAGTACCCCACAATGCAATGCACTTGATGCATTTCCAGTGTGACAAATGACTCATTATTTGATCAGATAGCAAAAAGTAGTGTGCAGGCCAATATTCCATTCCTATGTAGCCAAACCAATGGTGTCCAGTCCTGTTCCTGGAGATCTACCTATCTGCAGAGTTCAGATCCAACTATATTTATCAAGTGCTCCTGGAAGTTTGCTGGTTCAGTAGTGTTCGATCAGGGCAGAAAGGTAACTCTACAGGAACAGGATTGGCCACCAAAACTGGCCATGACTGCAGGATTAACACTTACAATACCAACTCCAACCACAAGGGGTCACTTTGGATTAGTAATATAAACAAAACAAAAAGGAATTACTTTGAACTTGGTGACATCTACAAACAGAAAGCTTGCAACTGTAATGTTTTTTTTTACCCCCGTCCAGGATTGACGTCATTAAAGTTAAAAAGAAATAACAGATTTTTTGTACTAGACAGAGTAAATGGCAGAGGTAGGACTGTTGAGTCAATCATTGCAACTATAATCTGTCACGACACAACTCTCAGCAGTGCTTTTGAATCGCCCTCAGCCTTATACGGTTTACAGGGGGGGAAAAAACATTTAGCTGTCCTACCCACAAAACCCTTCTTTTTGCTTTTTTGCTTTTTAAAAAGCAGATACTACAAGGGCCTGCAGTTTTGGCACTGCACTAAATTGAAACCAGATGTGGTCTTGCTATTAATGACACTTGTAAAACGCACTCATTACTCATTATGGTTGAGGTCATTCATGCTGAAAGCTAACAGTATCCATTCTGTATGGAGCAATTCTGAACCACAGGCTATTTGGTTCTGATATGGGGATTTGGATATGTTGTCAGTAAAACAGATACCTTTATCATCTCTTGTGTTGCTAGAGTCCTCATCGCCAGGCTCCACGGGCAGAACCGTGACTTTGGTGCCTGTTTGTTGAATAAACTGCTGTAGGTTTACCTGCCTCAACTCTTTAGTCAGCTGCTCCAGCTCATAGTGACTCTCCTGGTGGAAAGAGGGAGGAGAGGGTACTAATGAAATGTTTGTGTAGGGTTGCAACTGGCATTCAGCCTGCAGCAATGCAATAACAACTGGCTAGTAACAATTCTCCAATGTACTTCCACAAAATTAGCTCAAGAATCCAAACACATGCGTCATTTTTGTATTTACAGCAATCCCAGTTTTAGACAGAACCCTGCTGATAAGAGCAGCTAAGACCAGCATGAATTTCTATGCTAGTTAGTGCCAGATTGGTGATAGTCTAGTTCACCATTTATTGAATCCGGTCAACCGGCATGAATATTTAGCTGGTTTAAGTACTTGAGAAGCCTGATGGGGACGCTAATAAGTCAAGGTTTGGCTGGTTAGCCTGGTCCAGTTAGTCCCTGCTGGTAGATGCAGATTTTTTTTTTGGATGGCTCTTAAAAGTGTTAAGTAGAAATGCTCTCTGCTGCCTTTGACATCACAGCTCAGGCTAGTCGCTAATGAAAGACTTTGCACGTTCTTGTGGAGCCTTCCGATAATGCTATTAAACACCATTGTCAACACGTTTAAAGGGTTATTTCACCCAAAATTGAAAATTCTGTCATCATTTACTCGCCCTCATGTCATTCCAAACCCGTAAGGATTTCGTTTATCGTCGGAACACAAATGAAGATATTCTTCATATTATATATGATTTTAAGAGATTTCTGTCCCTCCACTGACAGCTACGCAACTACCACTTTGACTCTTTAAAAAGTTCATAAAGAGATCGTAGAAATCATATATATGAGTTGAGCGATTTAGTCAAACTTTAATGCAGAGATACAATAGCTTATAAGATGAACAGATTAATTTTAGGCTTTTATTTACATATAACAGCGAACATAAACAGAAGCTCAACTGAACGTGCTGCGTAACGAGAATGAACCTCATTGGTTCTTACAAAAGCTCAAACGTGCTGCGTAACACGAGAATGAACCTCATTGGTTCTTACAAAAGCTCAAACGTGCTGCGTAACACGAGAATGAACCTCATTGGTTCTTACAAAAGCTCAAACGCACTGCGTAACACGAGAATGAACCTCATTGGTTCTTGCTGAAGCTCAAACTCACTGCGTAACACGAGAATGAACCTCATTGGGTCTCGCAGAAGCTCAAACTCACTGCGTAACACGAGAATGAACCTCATTGGTTCTTGCTGAAGCTCAAACTCACTGCGTAACACGAGAATGAACCTCATTGGTTCTTGCTGAAGCTCAAACTCACTGCGTAACACGAGAATGAACCTCATTGGTTCTTGCTGAAGCTCAAACGTGCTGCCTAACACGAGAATGAACCTCATTGGTTCTTGCTGAAGCTCAAACTCACTGCGTAACATGAGAATGAACCTCATTGGTTCTCGCTGAAGCTCAAACGTGCTGCGTAACACGAGAATGAACCTCATTGGTTCTTGCTGAAGCTCAAACTCACTGCGTAACACGAGAATGAACCTCATTGGGTCTCGCAGAAGCTCAAACTCACTGCGTAACACGAGAATGAACCTCACTGGTTCTCGCTGAAGCTCAAACTCACTGCGTAACACGAGAATGAACCTCATTGGGTCTCGCAGAAGCTCAAACTCACTGCGTAACACGAGAATGAACCTCATTGGTTCTCGCTGAAGCTCAAACTCACTGCGTAACACGAGAATGAACCTCATTGGTTCTCGCAGAAGCTCAAACTCACTACGTAACACGAGAATGAACCTCATTGGTTCTCGCAGAAGCTCAAACTCACTACGTAACACGAGAATGAACCTCATTGGTTCTTGCTGAAGCTCAAACTCACTACGTAACACGAGAATGAACCTCATTGGTTCTTGCTGAAGCTCAAACTCACTGCGTAACACGAGAATGAACCTCATTGGTTCTCGCAGAAGCTCAAACTCACTGCGTAACACGAGAATGAACATCATTGGTTCTCGCAGAAGCTCAAACTCACTGCGTAACACGAGAATGAACCTCATTGGTTCTCACAGCTTCCGTTTACTACAACTGATGTGCGAGTTGTTGAATGTTTATATGGGATAAAAAACCTAAATTCAATCTATTCATTATATAAGGCGATCGTTTCTCTTCAGAAAATTTGGACTAAGCAGCTCAATTCATATGAATTAGTTTTACTTACAAACTCTTTATGAACTTTTCGACCAATCAAAGTGGTAGTTGCATAGCTGTCAATGGAGGGAAAGAAATATCTCAGATTTCATAAAAAATATCTTCATTTGTGTTCCGAAGATGAACAAAAGTCTTACGGGTTTGAACAACATGAGGGCGAGTAAATTATGACAGAATTTTCGTTTTTCACTGAACTAACCCTTTAAGGCTACAATACATCACCTGACTTTTAAAAACAAGATTTTAAAATACAAGACATCATACACTTGCCGACTTTGTAAATGGTTACAGAGAAAAACTACACTAATAACACTAATAACTAACTCTCTAATACACTACACGAGATGAGATCACGCACTACCAGACTTTCGGGTCATTCCGAACACAACACACTCACACAGAAACATGCACTTCATTGCTAGGAGACGCATGATAAATGAAAAAAATGTGTTCTAAAATTGGCTCAAAACATGTTTGATATCCTCTGATTGGATGGATTCATAGTATGGAGCTAAAAAATCTGCAAAATCTGACATTCGGCAGCTAGTGTCGACTCGAAATTGAGGTAAAACTCTGGGCAAAAGTTGTGTAGTGTATTCCAGCTTTTGTGCCCATGAGCAAAGATGGCTGAATTAAAATTGCGTTCTTCTGGGGGATCCTGCCCCAGCTGAACAACTGCCACTAAGCTGAACGGAAATCGAAAATAGTTTAATCCGGGTATTGTAGACTTCATTGCAGCCAGAATGCAACGCACACTAATGAAAATCAATGCTTGTCTTTATAGCTGAAATCAGAACTACAAGACCATTGGTTAACATTGCGCTCTTCAAATTTATATTTAAAATTTCAAATGGATTACTCAATTTTTTGAGTTAACCCTTACGTACCTGCATTCTCTTGCACGACTCGGCCAGTGAGCGGTCCACAGCTCTTGAGCTGTTTTCAAGCTGGGCCGTGTGTTGAGCCTGAGCCTTGAGTTCTGCTTTCAGTCTCTGAAGTCTAGCCTTCACTTCCCCTTCACTGGCCTGCTGGGTCTCTCTGGTCTCCTTACGCTGCCTTTGAGCCTCTATCCCTGCCTGTACACCCTGCAGAGACACCAGCCGCTGATCCAGATCCCCCTCACAACTGCGCAGCCGACTGCTCAACTCCTGGATTCGTTCCTGCAGCTGCCTCTCGCTCTCCCGCTCAATCTGGAGCTCAGTTGCCCAGAACTCCTCTTCCTCGATCTCTACCTTGTTCCTTCGCACCTGCTTTTCCAACCTTGAAACCTCCTCTGTTATCTTCAAATACAGTTCATCATCCTGTAGTCCAACTCTTTTCTCAGTCAACATCCGAAGCTCTCCCTCGTATGCATCCATCCTGCTGTCTAGAACGGAAAGAGTCTCCCTTTGCAGCCTCACCAGTTGGGTAAGATCCTCCATCCGGTTGCCTGATAAGCGAGGGGACATTGACGGCGAATTGTGGGCACTTCTCACTAAAACCTCTCGTTGTTTGGCACTACTGTCGCCGAGCCTGCCTCCACTCAGGATGTCCCTCAGACTGCGGGGCACGCCGGTGAAGGTCAGAGATTTGCGCCGTGGCTCGCGGCGACGGAGGGAACGGTCACCTGGAGCTCGGAGCTTGGCCATCAGTGGAAGGCTCTGCCGATGCAAGCCTCGCTCTGGGCCCCGAGGAGTCAGACCTTCAGTTGGGGGGTACTCGTTGAGAGAGGGGCCTGTGCGGTGTAGGATAAACTGCACGTCACCGGCATACTGCCCCCAAGTGTTCAGAGAGGCCACCGGACTCTCGTGAGGAACAAGATGCCGCTCGGTGTCCCTCCATTTTTCAATCAGTGTGTAGCGTCCTGTCCGACCTATAAAAAAAGAATAAAGTTTGCATTGCTGAATAAGATTAAGATTGGAACCATAGATATGAAAGTTGCACTCAGTATTTGTTGCGCTGACTAATTTTATTATCTAGTGGTGTCAGTGTTGTTATTGTACAAAACAGTAACGTACTGTATAGCTGAAAAGTCGGAAAATTCCTCTTTATTTTAATCTATCTGCTGTCAGACATAATGAGACTTTGTTGCCATAATGCGTTGCTACAGATTTGCATCTTGCTTCAGGCTTGACTAATTAATCTGCTCACTGTAAAACTAAAATAGGCAACAAGGAGTTTATGTCAGTAGTTGCATATACAAAACTGTGACCACAGTCTGTTTACAAAAGCGATCGAGAACCGTGCAACCATATATGGCTCTCTCAGGGTTTGCTAGTGTGTCGATTCAATAAAAAATCCACATTTTACATATTATTTACAAATATTACATAATTCATTGATGCCCATTTGTCATGTATAATACACCAACCAATCGTGATGGGGAAAAACGATACTCGGTTACTAACGTAACCTCGGTTCTCTCTAGAGAGGGAACGAGTATTGCGTAAGTTTAGCTTACGCTACGGGAAAGATTCATCTTCTCGAGATATTGAAGCCAAAAAATTATCCTTAATTTTGTATTCATTGTCAACGCAGTGCAGCAGCTAGCAGCCCTAGAGCAGGCCATCTCGCGTGCTTATTGGCTGCCCTGCATGCATCTGCTGCAGCCTACCAGTGAGCCCCGCGTGACGTCACACCCAATGAAGGGCGCTCGCGCCTTCATAGCGTCATAGCCCGCCAGAATGGGCGTGGCTTAGCGTATATAAGAAGGGGCTCGTAGGCTGAATTCCCTGGTTTTTCGACAACTGAAGCGAAGTCGCTCGTGGCGCGAGCACGGCCGGTTACGCAATACTCGTTCCCTCTCTAGAGAGAACCGAGGTTACGTTAGTAACCGAGTATCGTTCTCTTACGAGAGGTTCTCTCGTATTGCGTAAGTTTAGCTTACGCTACGGGAACACTTTGTCAACGCCGTGCGCGCCAAGCATCCACCATGAGGCCCCGAACTTTCAGGGAACCCCTATGAGGTGGAGAATAAGGTGGCCAGCTACGCGGGCCATCACTTGTACATAAGCACACATAGGGAATACAGAGCAGCGCGCCGGTCTGTATAGGCACATGGCTCATACCCCACTTAGTGCAGCTCAACCAGGAGAGCTGGGTCATGTGAGAGTGATCTGAGCAGGAGGTCTGGGCAGAATACACCTCTCCTCTAAACCGACAACAGTTTAGCCTGCAAGGCAGGAACTTCCAGGTTATAAAACCTGACAAAGGTAGACGGGGAGCTCCAGCCCGCCGCCACACATATGTCATGGATAGAAATTCCACTGGACCATGCCCACGAAGAGGCCACGCCTCTCGTGGAATGAGCCCTGATGCCCAGAGGGCATTGCAGACCTTTTGACGCGTAAGCGGCTGCTATAGCGTCCACTATCCATCTGGACAGGCTCTGTTTCGAGGAGGCGAGACCTTTGGTGCGCCCACCGAACGAAACAAACAGCTGTTCCGAACGCCTGAATGAGGCGGAGCGCGTAATGTAAAACCTCAGCGCTCTGACAGGGCAGAGGAGGTTCACATCACTTTCGCTGTCAGATGCTGGGAGCGCTGACAACGAGATGACTTGCGCTCTGAACGGAGTGCCCATCACTTTCGGAACATAACCATGTCTAGGTCTGAGGATGACTTTAGAGTCATTCGGCCCGAACTCAAGACACGACGCGCTGACAGACAGCGCATGTAGGTCCCCCACACGCTTTACTGACGACAGTGCAGTCAGAAAGACGGTTTTTAGTGATAGATATTTCAACTCCACAGAATCCAGTGGTTCGAAGGGAAAAGCTTTCAGGGCCTCCAGGACCAGTGAAAGATCCCACATGGGAACCGACGGGGGGCGCGGCGGGTTCATCCTCCTAGCTCCTCTTAGGAAGCGGATGACCAACTCATGTCTTCCCAATGACTGGCCGTGCGTCGATTCTGCGAACGCTGCCACGGCCGCCACATACACTTTGAGCGTGGATGGGGACCTCCCCTTATCCAACAGCTCTTGTAGGAAGGAGAGCAGCTGCGCCACCCCGCATGTCCGCGGGTCCAGACCTCTGTCGGTGCACCATTCCGAGAACACCGACCATTTAGACGCGTAGAGCCTTCTTGTAGAAGGGGCTCTAGACTGCGTGATCGTGTTCATTACTCCTTCTGGCAGGGCAACGAGTACCCGTTGATCAACCATGCTTGCAGAGACCAGCGCTCTGGATGGGGATGCCAGATCGTGCCGCGAGCCTGAGAGAGGAGATCTGCCCTCACCGGAATCGGCCACGGAGCTGTATGTGACAGCCGTGCCAGCTCCGGGAACCAAATCTGATTCTCCCAACGCGGGGCTATGAGGAGCACCGAGTGGCGCGTTTCCCTGATTCTCTTGATTACCTGTGGTAACAGAGAGACCGGGGGAAAAGCATATAGCCGGAGGCTGGGCCAAACCTGGGCCAGCGCGTCCTCGTCCTTCGAGAAGAACGTTGGGCATTGAGCGTTGTCTTTTGACGCAAATAGGTCGACTTCCGCCCTGCCGAACAGGCGCCACAGTTTCTGGACCGTTTGGGGGTGCAGGGACCATTCCCCTGGGGGAACGTTGTCCCTGGACAGTTTGTCTGGGCCGTCGTTCAAATGGCCCGGCACATGCGCCGCCCTCAGCGAGCGCAGGTCCAACTGGGACCAAATAAGGAGGCGCTCCGTCAGATTGCAGAGATTTCTGGATCTGACACCGCCCTGACGGTTTACATAGGATACCACAGACATGTTGTCCGAGCGGACGAGAACATGTTGGTCCTGTATGAACGGGAGGAAGCACTTCAGCGCATTCTCGACCGCTATCATTTCCAGACAGTTTATGTGAAAACACCTCTCTTGGTCTGAGCACTGGCCGAAGACCGGTCTGCCCTCGAACAGCGCGCCCCAACCCCAGTTGGACGCATCTGTCGAAATTACTTTCCGATAAGAGACGGTTCCCATCGTCACTCCCAGCTGGTACCAGTCGGCCACTAACCAGGGCTGCAGAGCCGCTATGCAGGTCTGAGTCACTCTGATTTTCTGACCGCCAGAAACCCAAGCTCGGCGGGACGCGCGAGCATTCAGCCAGCGTTGGAGCGGGCGCATGCGCAGTAGGCCCAGCTGAAGCACCGCTGCAGCTGACGCCATACAGCCCAACATCCTCTGAAAAGTTTTCAAAGGGAGAAAGCTGTCCCTTTGGAAAGACGCGGCTAGGTGGCGAACACGGAGCGTGCGCTGTGCCGATAGACGAGCCGACATAGTCACCGAGTCCAGTTCCATTCCTAAAAAGGAAATTGACTGGCTGGGTAGTAATGAGCTCTTGGTCCAGTTGACCGTGAGACCCAAGCTTTCCAGGTGACTGAGAAGCACTGTTCTGTGAGACAGCAGCTCCGTCTCTGACTGTGCCAAAATCAGCCAATCGTCCAGATAGTTCATTATCCGCAGCCCCTGACTTCTCAGGGGGGCGAGCGCCGCGTCCATGCACTTCGTAAATGTACGGGGTGCCAGAGACAGGCCGAACGGCAGGACGGTGTATTGATACCTGACCGTCGAAGGCGAATCTCAAAAATCGCCTGTGACGGGGTATTATCTGAATCTGGAAATAGGCATCCTTCAGATCTAGAGAAATAAACCAGTCCCTCGGGCGAACGTGCGCGAGGATTTTCCTGGTCGTAAGCATTTTGAACGGTCTTTTCACAAGCACCCTGTTCAAATGTCTCAGATCTAGGATCGGTCTGAAGGTTCCGTCCTTCTTGGGTACGAGAAAATAACGGCTGTAAAAGCCTGACTCGCTCAGAGAAGGCGGCACCTTTTCTATAGCCCCTTTGCACAGCAGCTTTGCTATTTCTGCGTGAAGTAGGTGTGCTACTTCCGTATTCACTATCGTCGCGGTCCGTGCTCGAAAGCGCGGGGGACGGCGAATGAATTGAAGTGTATAGCCCTGCTTTATTGTGCTCAGCACCCATTCCGAAATCCCCGGGATAGATTCCCACGCAACTATGTGAGCCGCTAGGGGGCGAATGGCCTCCAGGTTCAGATCGCCGCCATTCGCGGGCTTGTGAAACTGAACCGGAGCTGAGAGCGCGGCGCGCGCGCTCTCTGTTCTGGGCAACGGCTGCTCGCTGAAAACCGAAACCGGCTGCTTTGTGTGAGATGTCCCAATCATAAGGGATGGGGAACCTTTTTTCCTCACTTTTTGACACGCGAGTGGCGCTTTGGGCGGAAAAGCGTTCTGTAAGCGTGAGCGCGTTTGCGCGGGCACGAGACTTACACATGTATTTGACGCCCCGATCAAAATGGATGGGGAGCGTTTTATTATCGCCCTGCGTTTCATGATAACACTTAAACGCGCGGGCGGCGCCCGGGGGGAGGTTTGTGTTAGCAAGCGTGAACGCTCTCTGGCGGGCACGGGACTTACATTCATAACCTGCTGTCTTGACCGTGTAACAGAGCGGGCAGATAGTGGGCACAACACTGTGGACACATTTCTTACATTCAACACTCGATCGGCTTTTCTGCGCTTTATGAGAGTGTGCTCTGTGGGTGACACGATATTTGATGTGCTTGTGTGTAGGGGTGAACACTGGGAGGTGGGCACTTTCACTACACTTAGAACACTGACGGCGTGAGCCGGACCAGACATAATACTCTTTTTGAGATTTCTCTGGGTCGCCGTGAAAACGGCGTTTGTGTGCAGGCGAGAGGGTGGACAAACCGGCTCGTTGGCTGCTAAATGAACCACTGCAGTAGCCTGACTGAAGGGGACTGACAGGGAAATAAGCTTCGACGGCGGTCCGGCCGCGGCGGGACACGCGCGTCTTTTCTCTCTCTTTGTTAGGAGGATTTCGCGTGCTCAGACTTCAGCGTGATCTTCTGCCGAGGCCCCCTGGGGGG